ACAACTTCACAGTGCTTGTTGTACTCTCCAACAGCAACACCAATGCTCTTGTATAAGAACTTGCGAGAGTCGATCTGTGGGATTGGAATGAATGGACCTTGTCTATTGTCGACGAGTCCAATCTTGATACCACTCTTCTCTTGTGTGATGGAGTTGATCTTGACGAAATTGATGTCCCATCTCACCTCCAAGGTTGCAGTCGACACCATCAACAATCTCTTATAGGTCACAATGACAACCAGTTCCTCACCTGGTAGGACGATATGCGCAACGTAATCGTCATTTATGAATTTACCACCAGATGCAGTCTTAAGCCAGTATTGGCCTTGTGCTTCCCTTTCGCTAAAAGGTTCAATGATGGAATTCTGTGCAATGAACCTTGGAAGACGAACCTTGTTTAATCCCTCACCGTCAAATGCAGTGGTGGTGTTCTTGATTCCCTCACTCACATAGTTAACCATGTCAAACATACCAATGGCAGTCTTTGTCGGAAGACCAATTAAGCCCTTACCAAGCCCTTTGAAAAACCCTGCGGCACCTTCTTTGTTGGCACCCTCCATTGGTGCAGTTGCAACTCCAGAGATTCCGCTAGATATACCATCATAAAAGGAGTACGCCCCAGACTTTATACCGAAAAGCGCATGATTAGGCCTGTTTCTTCTCTGATTCATCCGACGTCTTTCTTGGTAGTCTTTATCCATGGTAGCAGATGTTAAACCTTTGGCGAGCGAACCACTAATCTTTGCAAAACTATCAGAGAACCCAAAGACAGATTTCTTCAAGAAACTCAAACCACCTTTTGCAAGACCGATACCCAACTCCTGTGGTCTATCGTTAATGATGAGACCTTGATAAGGTTCGTAGAAAATATCCATGACACCAGAACTGATGTTGTTGAACAACCCTACGGGGTTTCCAATAACGTCTGCAGATCCAATCACACGGTAGATCTGGGACATAAAGTTTTCTCCGTAGTGGGTCTGGATATTCTGTAACAATATTGGTACTGGAACCCTGACATTCTCTATGAGTAATGCATTCAAACGGATTGGAGCATCGTTAATGTTACCCAACGCCATAGTCAAAATATTGACAAAGAACATAATCAAATTTTGTGGCTGGGCTTCAGACTCAGCATTGACATGTTCTGTGCGGACAAAGGATAAGTCTAGTTGAACAGGTTGGATATGCAAAGCTTCAAAATACAGATCACTCTCCATAGACTCATTAACAGGCTGCGATAATTGAATGACTTCCTCGCACAGCTTGTCTGGAGGATTTACAGCCCATGATGCTCCTGGAATCTTGGTGAAGTCAAGTAATGCAAACAAAAAGTCTTCATCAATTTCAACCGACATTTCCTGCAACAAGACCGTTGCATACTTGATGTATGTAACACCATGCCTATCGTCTCTCACCTTAGAAATGGAGCCAGAGAATGCCGGATGGTTGTTCATCTCCTTCACGGAATGTGGAACAACAGTAGGATAGATAATTATAGGGAAAACACCTCCATATAATTGGTTATCCACTTGTAGCCATTTCAACTTCCAGCTAACAGTTTGATAAGTGTCTGATTCATTATAACGGATTTCCATCCCATTGGCAGTAATGTAGCACAATTCTTGGTTTCGAGTGTTGACAAGAGAGATACCAAGACCTTCAAACTTCAACCGCAGTTGTGTTGTTATATCTGAATCACCTTCAGCAACTTTGAACTTTTCTGGAGTTTCAAGAGACGTAGTGGATCCCTCCATAGTGCCCTTTGAAGACAACTTGTACAGACTTAGAGATGGTTCATAGTTTGAAACAACAAGCGTCTGTGTCGGTCCATCAGCAATAACGTTCAAATCAATTATGGATGAGGAGTTTGGAACTTTCATTGGGCGTAAATTACCAATCTCAGCCAACTGTATATGTCTTTCTCTTCCCTTAACTCTCAACACAATTTCTTTGTAGTAAGCAGCTGGGAAGTCCCAAGCATAAGGCATTACACTTTTTGCTGGAACTTTGTAGAACAAAGGTTTGAATGGTGTACCACTATCTTCCACAACTTCATCATTCTCATCAACATACGGATTCCCCTGGTAGAACAATATTTCATGATCACTAAAGTTTCTCACTGAGAATGGCCAATCATTGTGAGAATCGGACACATTGATAATCAATGTAGCAGCATCCAACTGAATGTTGATCTTCAATAGAGTCACAGATTGATTGTTGTCAAATACCTTCAAGTAAACGATACCAATATCGTTGAGAATAAATGGTGAGGACCATTGCGATTTTCCACCCAATAAACGAATTTGAATTAGTTTCCTAGAGATTCTAGGAAGTGAATATAAGGCCTCAAATGAACCAGGTTTAAGACGCACTGATTGCGTAGATCCTATAGCCAACACTTCAATCTCTTCACTGAAGTTATTTCTCACGATATAACGAGGAGAGAAGGTAACGACATTTGTCAATTGATATTTCCCTTGACCTTCCATAACAGACATACCAATGTTCATCTCGGTCTTCTTATCTCCCAAAGACATATCAACTTGCCCATGCTGACCAATGTTTTGAAGACTTACAGGCTTACTCCACTGAGAGTCACCAATCTTAACCAATGCGCGCGATTTCACACTGTCTTCGTCGAAAGAGAACATTCTAGGAGTTGTGCTCTTCAATTCATCTTCACCAACACTGACCTGAGAGTGGAGTACATTATAACCGTCACGAATATATATGTCCTTTGAGGTCCGATTCAAAATGACATAAGGAGAGAAGATAGTGACTTTCAAACCCGATGAGCCCTGATTAGATGTATTATAGTGGATACCAAGTTGCAGAACTTGTCCATCTTCATGTTTTAAGCACAAATGAGACTCTCTTTTGAATTCACTGTTATTAGGAGAGTTGATAATTGCAAAATCACTCTTGGCGAAGCCAGAATCCTTTGGAAACACACTTAGCAGTAAAAAATACTCTAGCTTTACAACATGGACAGGGCTACTGTTTCCTTTCTTTAGGGTATTCCGCCAGTCACGCTTAGAGCTTCTGTCATAGAGTCTGTAGGAGATGTCATATGGCAAAAGATTTTCAATCTCCAAAGGTGCCGAGATAACCACCTTCATCAGAGGATAAATATTGGAGAGTGGTTCAGAAGTTGGCTTAGCTTCCACTTGGAAATAGAAACATGTATCATCAGTTGAGTCAGTTGAGGGACACTTAATGGATGCTGGGGAGGTGCGTAACTTCTTCCAGTACAAGTAGTTCTGAGACCATTCAAATGGGACTTGTATATCTGGTTTGAGATAAAATTTTTCTTCATAGACTTCATCAATAGGCAAAGCCCTCGACTCTCCTGGTGCAATTGAATACTGCTTCTTACCTTTAACCAATATGCTCACTTGTGTACTATTTTCGACAATAATGGTAGATCTTAGAGTGACAGTTTTAACGTTATCCTCACCCAAAGTGATATCAACAAGAAGTCTGTTATGATATCCACTAATCGGAGGCGTCAACATGTAAATATCCTCACCTTCGCCAAATACTGGAATACGATCAATTTCATCGTAACCTGATTCAATAAGCTCCACACCTATGACACCTTTCTTGTTATCTGTATCCAAGTTTTCACGAACTTTTCTCCAGTCTTCAAACTCCCAAGGTACAATTTCACCATCTCTGACAGTCTTCAAACCAAAACGATCCTCTGGCGATTTAATCCAGACATTCAAATCATATCCTGTTTGATTCAGAATTCTATAAGAACTCAAAGAACCACGGGGCTGGATTTCACCTTGACCAGAGATTGAGGAGAACATTTGTGAGAGTAGAGCGATTGAGCGTGAAGAGAGCGTTGCTTGGACAGTCTTTCTTCCAATGAGTTCAACAGAAAGTTTAGGCTTGGGACCATCATCTCGTGAAATATGAAGCGTGAATGGCCAAGGTTCAATAAGTGCTTCCCACGAAGATTTTGAATAGTTGAAAATGTTGACGAAAGATTCAACGTTCATATTCACTTCAAGATCAGTTGACCAATTCTTTGCTGTAATCTGGAATGGCTTGACACGTGTATCAAGTACTGGAAGCTCATTCACACTACCTATCAGTACCAAACGGAAGCCTTCAATGTCAGCCGTCAGATGCTCCGCCTTGAGAATCAATTCTGTATCAACCATTGACGCACGTCTTGAGCGATTACCAGACAAGGATGTCACTATACTTGGAGCATACTGGGAGAGTCTGCGCTTGAACTCGCTGGTAAATGTGGTATAGGCATCAATTTCGTCAGCATTTGTTGATGGCTCAACAAAGCCCGCCTGTTCAGCAAGTTCCATCGCCTTGTTGAAAATGATGAGTGCCAACTTGATATCGTTCAAAGAAACTCTCATTAACAACGGCTCGACAGCAATTTGAACATTGCTCAAGTGATTATGATCAGTACTCCCTCTAGTATCTATAGTAACAGAAGAAGAGAAGTCATCGATGATTCTTATCCGACTTCCGTGGTAATCGTTCATTCTGCACAAAAACATACCAACATTGTTGGCGCTCGCAGATATGATGTTCTGTTGGGATGCAAGAAGCTGCTCAATCTTGAAGACAATAGCTTCTGAATCTTCTTGAGTTGGATCAGCTAATAAAATTAAAGAAGTGTCCACAATATTGACAGAGAAACCTAGACGTTTCACAGCATCAGTACTTGAGTTTGCAATAACTGAGTCGACTGTATTTACGTCATCATTGTCGTTATCACCGTCATAATCATAGAGTTCTGCTGCATCGCGTTCCTCATCGCTATATGATGACGACCGAAGTTCAGGCGGTAGCTTCAATCCAGCATCAACAAATTGCTTCAAAGCAAACAAATAATCTAAGGCCAAAATTACTCTTGGGCTCTTGACATTGACCATGACAACGGTATTCTTATTATCAGCAGGGCCATTTGTAGAAGCCTTGACAGAGACCTGTTGTTCATTCTTTACCAATCTAGGAATAATTTCAGTAAACTTATTATGTTCAACTTGACGAATGTCTTCTGCAACAAGAGCACCAATGTGTAAATCTGCCACGAAATGAGAATCATTCTTCTCGCAATACGCCATACCAATGTTTTCTAGCGAAAAGCTCGATAGAGCACTAGCTGATAAGGTTTTGAGGCCTCTGGTGTTGTTGTGAAGAGTTAAAGACACCTTGGGCATGTCAAACTTGAAATCTATCTTTGTATCAGTTGGTTTAGCATGATTCGGCGACGACGATGATGATGGAGTCATAACATCTTCCTTTTCAGCATGATAGACAGTACCTGGTGCGATAACGTTATTCGCATCTAATGCAGCATCCTCAATTTCAGATAAAGATTTTGATTCATCAAAGACAAAAACCTTAGGTATCGTTTGCGACAAGGTATAAAGGTAAGACATTTGAAGCTCAGTCAAATCAGATTTGATTTCTGAGACAAATCCACGAACAGTAATCTGAGCCTTATCAGAAGGATTTTCTAACATACTAATATCAAGGTTAACATCAAAGTCCTCAATAACCTTGAGATCTTGGAAGTCAACGCCCCCAAAAAACCTCGAAGTCAACCTTGTGGAGTGGAGACCCAGTTTAATGTTGTTCATCAAATCCGAAGGTAGAGAGATAAATTCATTGGAAGCTGTGAACTCACCCAAATAGACTGTCAAATCATCGTAAATGTTCTTGTTGAAATCAATCAGTTTCGGGAAAACAATAATCGGAGTTTTGATATCAACATCAAACTTCATTCTTGGGTTCTGTATGACAGGATTGTTAAATGCAGCATCTCTTGCCGTATCATAGAGAGCTTTCATTTGCATGAATTTGCTCAAGAAATCAAATATTTTGTTTAAAGGCTCCTCGACAAAGTTAACTCTCATGGAACCAGCTTTGAAACTAAAGCTTGAGGAATAGTCACTATTAGACAACGGATCAATGGTCTCATAGGTGAACTCAGCCAGTTCATCACCATCAAAACTCAATAGTTTTCTGAACGATGAATCTCTATAGGCTCCTTCATTAATTTCATCATGAATAGTCAACGCATTGAGTTTACTGTACACCTTCAACGATTCTGGTAAGACCAATATGTCAAACAAAGCCGTTGACAACTGAGCCGTGGCCAGTTTGATGCCATCATCGTTTAGAACCAAGGTAATACCTTCAAGAGTAACATTACAGCGGATCTGTTCTGGGGCTGTTTCGTCAACCGAAGTATCGTTATGCCTCAATGCATCAGCTGGAGTCTCAGGTGGATTAGGGTTTGTGAAGGTGGTCAAAATGAAGTTTAAAATAGTCAAAAAACTCTTTCTCGTCAAAACACCTTTCAAGGCTGAAAGATGCAAGTCCACGTCCTGGTCAAAAACCTCGATTTCTTTACCTTTAAACTGAGCTAAACGTTGGACCTTCTTGTACTTTAAGTGAAAAATATCACTGTGACCATTAACGAGCTCATCAGATGTGAAATTGGTGGAAGAGATTATCTTCTTGAACTCCTCAGTCCCACTGTTTTCAATCCAATCCTCAATATTGAACGTACCAAGGGTCAAATCAACATGCATATCTTTGGTCAGTTTCAAGAACTCAAGAACAAACTTCTCTGCAATGATATCAACAATCTGATCAGATTCCATGGTTTTACCATCTGTACACTTTGAAAGGGATAACTGGACTCTATCCACATTGAAGAAAAATTCGAAAATGTGTTGATTCTCATGCAGATTGAGCGTTGGAGCCCTGGAACCACTTTGAATTGAAGAAGAGCTCACCTCTGGAATTTCCGTATCAATAGAGGCAGCGTCGTCCAGCACACCGATACTCAAAGGAACAGCGAATGACTCATTTCCACAATCACTACCACCAACATCTTCACCTCCACCAAAATCGGGAATGCATTTATCAATCAACTGCATCATTATCTTGTATTGGTAATCATTCATCTTGGCAGTGAAATTTGGCAAACTTGCCGTAGTTCTAATCTTAGCCAAGTTAGATGCACTAGGCATGATTGAAAGTTCCAACACCAGCTTCATATCTAATTTATCCAAGATCAATGATGGCGTGTCTTTGTTCGAGTGAAGCTGTTCGATCGTGGACTTGATAGTTGGACCGACAAGGATTTGAGTATCCTGTAAGTGTAAATCAAACCTATCATACATAAGGGTCTTCAACTCTTCAACATCAATCTTGGCAAATTCCTCAGGGCTTAAATCCTTAATTTCTTTAGCTTTGTCTTTATCAGCCAAGTCACTGAGGACACTGATATGACCTGCATCAATGATAGCACAAGGTGAACTCCAAGAACTTGGGTCCAATGGGAGAATGATCAAAGGTGCTTGCAGATCCAATTTAGTATTCATGGTTTTGTGATCTTCCCATATGGCCTCAAGTCCCATTCTTGTCTGAGCAGTGAGTCCATGAACAGTGGCTTCTGCCTGTTCCATGATGGCATTGATGGTGTGTAAATGGTCCTTTGGAGGAGTGAAAAACTTTATGATCTCATTGATGAGCTGAACATGGTAGAAAATGGTCATACTTCTCAATTTCACGCTCAAAGAAGAGTCTGCCGACTGGTCAAGTGGGTTATTTTCAAAGGAAGCTCTGAAGAATGGGTCTGAAACTACTTCTGCATCAACATCAGAATTAAAAGGTTTGACACTAACCAAGTTCTTGTAGAGAGTAGTTTCTGTTCCATCTTCAATTTTGAACTCCTGTAAAGTGAAATTGGATAAGAACGAATCTGGTCTCTGGTAGTGCTGTGCGGCGCACCCTTCCCATACGATATTTGCGAGGTCCTTTCTGGTGGATCTGTTCTTTATCGAGAATCCACCTTTTTTCAACTGTGCATTCAATTCAAATTTGATTCGATCCCTTGGTATATTCACAGCTTCGGCCAATGCCCGGGTTTCATCAAATTCGATTGCTTGATAAAGTTCATCACGTTGCTCATCGCTCATGACTAAGTCCTTGTCCGAAGAGTTTTTGTTGTTGGAGCCACCCCACCAGCTCGATAACCAGCCACCAGTAGGTTCTTGTTGTTGGATTTTCTCAGACAGAGTTTTCTCACCAGATACCTCTGCCTCTTCCAGCTTCTCTTTTCTAAGTTCAAGCCTGGCCAAAGATCTGAAGAACTTGATATCATCGTAAGGTAATTTTTCTTCTAACGATCTCAACTCTTCATTGCTCGATGCATCAGGAAATCCCTGAGAGATGTCTGGTAAGAGTAATTTCTTTTTCCAAAGCTTGATATAGGCCTTTCTGTTGTCACGTCTTTCTTTGAGGAAATCCCAACTCCATCTGTAATTTCTTTCATGAATTTCACTCAAGACAGCGCGTGCTGCATAAAGGAACCATTCTTCACCATGTCCTTCGACTGGAACATTTGGTCTAAACCGTTTGAACTTGTGTGTCTTCTTATACCAGTGGAACTTTGAAGCGGAGAATAGTGCATCTCTGTATTGATGTGAATCCAAATCGACACAAAACTCTTCAAAGAAGACCTCAGCCTTTATGTGTGGCTGAGTTTCTGTGGACCCGAGCTTGTTGACAGTGAGATGTCCTGTTCCACTAACAGGCCTCAAGATATACTGGGTATCATCAAGGCGATCCTCATCTTCCAACAGCAAGGATTGCTTAAACCTCGACAACAGTTCATCCTGATCCTCTGAGAATATGGATTCACTATCGGTATTCCAATAGGCACACAGTGACTTCAAAGTGAGCAGCTTGTTTGTCAAATTACTCGAAACAGAGATGAAAGTTGGCATCCAACTGTCATCACTTGAAATTGCAGACAACTCCCCCAAAGTCACACCCAGGGCATATGGATGGTCAGTAAAGACGTTATTCATGTCTTCATATCTCAAGTGGATGTTCTTAATCTCAATCTGCAGGTTATCAACTATCTTTGTCACCAAGCTCTCAGTGAAGGACTCGTTCTTCGCCGCGTCCTCTTCCGAGATGGCATTGGTCGGGTTGGCCCTCTGTCTAATCTCCAGATCCGCCAACCGCTCAAACTTGAGGGCCAATTCTCGCTTCAGCTCTGCTTCGGCGTCATACGTATCCTGTGCGATGGGCGACGCCAGCAGATACACGTTCTCTATGAACACCTTGACCGGCTTTGCCTTCAGATTGGCCCAGGGGATCTGCAGTGTCAGCTCACCAAGGTGGCCGAAGTGCACATCCAAGGGCAGTTCAAACTTGTCCAGCGTCTCTTTCTTCAACCGCAGGTCTCTGAGCTTGACATCACCGCTCCATATGCCGATGTTCAACTGCTTCGGATCGAAGTTCTCCACGTAACTCCCCTACAGTAGGCGTGCACCTGTTAGTATAACATCCTCATCAAGCGACCCGAGTACACGGGAGCAGGCAAAGCAAGCAAGCAAGCAAACAGGCAGACAAGACAACGTACCAAAAACCTGTTGAGGATACTGGCCACTAGAGATTCAAGCATAGCACTTTAGCGGGAAAACAAGTCGATATGAGCTCTATAACACTATCAATGGTTTCTATCTAAGCTGAGCCGCCGGTGTTTGTTTACGTTTGTTTACGATTGTTTACGATTGTTTACGATTGCTTTTGTGTACAAGTTCAGCAGGGATGAGGGCGATCGGCTCAGGTTTTACGCAGAGGGCGGGAGGAAAGTAGGGGGAAAAACGAAATTTACACAGAGAGCAAGAGTCTTCCAGCGCGGGGGGACGGGACAGGACAGGACATCTTTAGGCAGTGGCAACTTCTCTCTTCACCAAAGGACACTGAGGGATGAGTACGTTCTTAGGAAAGACTTTGCTGTCTACTGTGGCGTTTGCTACCGGATTTGCAGTGTTTGCAAGGCCATGGAAGGAAGACTCGAGAACCGTTAATACTCGGTCGCTTGACGAGCAGAGATTGGATATCATCAAGGATATCAAGAACACGAAGGGGTACGAGCTGCTGGTTAACGACCGGAAGTTTGCGTTTGGTTCGCACTCGTCGAGGATTCCAAAGACGTACAGACACCAGTACGTGAGCCAGGGGCTGTTCTTTGGACCTCGGCAGCTGGAGATTGACCCGCTGGTGTTTGTCAACAACGAGGATAACGAGTTGCAGGCTTACTACCACATAGGTGATAAGATGGCTAGCTACGACGGCAAGATCCATAACGGAGTGCTCTCCACGATGATTGACGAGTCGCTGAGCTTCTGCGGCTTCCCATGCCTGCCTAGTAAGCGGGGAGTCACGGCAAAGCTCTCGATCGAGTTCCTGGACCACGTCCAGCCAGACTCGACTATTGTGCTCAAGGCCAAGGTGAGAGAAAGCAAGGGTCGTAAGGTGATCATCGATGGACACATCGAGACGGTGGCGGACAAGCCCGTCAAGATTGCACAGGCCGAGTGCATCCTGGTTGAGCCAAAATGGTTCAAGTACTTTACATGGCTGAGCCTGTTTTAGGCGTGCTGTCTCTCGAACAGCACAATACACACACTTATTTATTCCCCTACACCCGCACTCAGCTGTAGCCACAGACATTCACAGACCAACACTCACAGACCAACACTCACAACCTCGTCGTCACCGTCTCCATCCAATGAGCCTGTGCGCCAGTAGCACATCGCTCCATTGTGTGTCCCGAACCACCACTACTCATCGACATAAAAGCGCATCCACCACCAAAACCAACAACATCACCCATACTAGCATCACCAGCTCTACAACCACAGCCTGGGAGACAGAGATGGGAACAGCAATACAAGTGCACTTGGTACATATGAATGCCTGCTTCGATCTCCAACAAAAAAAATAGCCGAAATCGCCAGCTTTGACCTCTCTAATTGTCCTTACAGAACCAAAAAAGAGAAGATGCTTCCACTCAGAGTCGAACTGAGGATCGCTACATTACTAGTGTAGCGCCTTACCAACTTGGCCATAGAAGCTTTCTTCGGATGTGGGAAAAATTCCATGCCGCTAAGCTGTGATGCAGTGGGTGGTGGTGTCCGGGTGTTGTGCCCGAGTGCTTGAGCCCGCCGGCGCTGAAAAACTCTGTCAAAGTGTCCGAGGAAGCACACAGAGTCCTCGGCGAAGAGGAGCTGAAAGAGGCATACAAACGCTGGTTCTTTGCGCTTTGTCTGCTGTTGTTTGTGCTGAGTATCCTCTGAGCTACAGATGCTGCCATATTCGAGAGCGCTGCGTGCGCTTCCACAAGTTGCCAGATCGTCCAGGTACCCTTTGGCTCGCCTGGGAACCACTGTTGTGGTTCGTTTGCAACATTCGGCGCCTGCTCAACGGGAAGGCGAGGTTGTTGCTGGTGGCTCATCGCCAGAGGTGAATGTTGAGAAGAAGCAGACGAAGCCTGACTATGCGAAGATTAACGCTGAAAAGAAGGAGAAACTGCTGCTACAGATTAAGGCCATCAATGAAGAGGTTTCCAAAGAGATCCAGGCCGGTGTTTTGTCCAACACTGTTGCGGAGCTCTTCTTCAAACAGGTGGAGGCTCTTCCAAGAGTCCCAAGAACAAGCTACTTGGTTGCTGAGTCCTTTAAGGACTCCATCACTTCGATCATGGAGAAAGCAACGAAGGAGGCCAACGATGTTAACCAACAGAGGGTGCCAATCTCTCCATTGGCGGTGCTGAAGAAGGCCATCTCTCATAACGTTGCGCTGCCTTCGCACTACGTCTACGTGGTGTCGCAGCTGCTGGCTGAAGGTGATAGCTCAAACGCAATGTCGTTGTGGGTCACATACTTGGAGAATAACGTTGACAGCAAGAGAAGCTTCATCTCGCTGCTGCCATTCTATTCACTCGTCACGATTGCCTACTTGGACCTTTGTATCTCCCAAAAGTCAGAGCCAGAGCTGGAGAAACTCCAACAGTTACTGCAAGTGAAGTCTTTACCAAGAGTTCACACTTTGAAGTCCTCTCTCAACACTGTTATCCCACAAAGTGACGCAAGATTCAAGCCACTGAGTAACGCCTTGGACGGGTTGTTCTTGTTCTCTGTTGATCCAAATGCAACTTCACTGATTGTGGAAGCTATGCGTGCTTCAGAACTCGGTGAGACTAGAACAGTCCATCAGACCTGGAACAACATCCGTAAGGCTTCCGAGCTCAACGGCAAGAAGATCACCGAAGACACCATGGTTGCATTCATGAAGATGTTTAACACTCTGAACCTGACATCTGAGGCACAGGGGATCTGGAACACGTTGATCAACTCTGGTATTCATCCATCTACTAATGCTTGGAACAACTTGCTTGTTACAGTGTCCAAAACCCGTGGCCCATTCGCAAAGAGATTGGGACAGGTTGAATACGTGAAGAGCAAGATTCCATCGCCAGACGACCAGACTTTTGCTACTTTGATCAGAGTCTACACAACTCTGAAAGAGTTCGAAAAGGTTGAAGAGATTGCAAAGGATAAGATGGATATCTCGATTGTATCCCAGGCTTATCTACAATCACTTGCAAGTAGAGGTGATTTCTCAGTAGTTGAACAGTTCCTCACAACCTTGAAGAAGAGAAACATTCAACTCAACCAAACATCCTACAACATGGTTTTGGCCGCAGCATTGAGACAAGGCCATTCTGAAAAGATCCCAGAGTTGATGAAAGACATGAAACGTGAAGGAATCAAGCCTGACATCGCCACATATACCATCGTCATGGATCATAACTTGAAGGAACTTGCATCCAGAGGCGAAGTCTTTACAGACCATGCCTTTGAGCTCTTCTTTGAAGAATTGGCGCAGAACGGAATCAAGCCAAACCAGTTCACATTCACTGCAATTATGGACAACTTGGCCAAGAACGGCTCAGTGGAGGCTGCAGAGTCTTTCTTCAGATACTTACAAGCTAAGAAAATGGCATCGCCAGTGTCGTACATCTCCTTGATCACCTCTGAATTCGAAGCCGGCCGTCCTTCTGAAGGTGAAGACTTGTTCAGAGAATTCCTCAACGAGAGATACAGGGTCACTGCGTCCCACTGGGCTGCATTGTTCAAAGGGTTGTCGAGAAATGGCAAGACCGAGGAGTTGAAGTCATGGCTGTCATCCTTGGAGGAGACTCCAGCACTTCTGAACCGTTTCTCCATCTACTTCTTGTTGACTGCTGCAAAGAGCAGAAGAGACAGAGAGCTTGCTGAACAGGTGGTTGATTTCATCGCCAGACACAAGATGAAGTCCGTCATCTCTTCCAAAACTTCAGAGGTTATCAAGGACTTGGAGAGACAGATGGATCTTCAACTTCCAGAGTATCTTCAAGGCTGAAGTCGTACACACATATATATATAAAGACAACAGATTGTATAGCAACAATACAGTCCATGTATATAGAATTTCTACAGAATTTGATCAGACAAAGCAACGTCATGTTAGAATCAGAATCGACGTGACACACACACCCGTATACACCTATACGGAATGGTAAGAAGAATATAAGACGAGAACCCTCCAAAGGACCCCAGAGAAGCAAATTGCGTGCGGATATTATGGACAAGAGAGTTGAGCAATTTGATCTTCATTCCGGAGCCAATAGGCCTCAGCATGGGTATCACCATTACGACTGGTCCTTACCCATGGCCTTGTCCCATAACGGCTTAGACCAATGTACAAAGCGATCTTTGGCGTTGGTAAAGTTATCCAGGCCAGGTCTCACGTCCAGGAAGAACGTTGGCATCCCATGCTCATCGTCTGGTCCTCCGTAGTAATCAATGACATATCTAACCTGATCCCAGCCATCCTTGTCGTTTGGTCTCAGGACATACCAGTCGTGTCTGTCAAACGGAGGCTGTGGATTGAAGGTTTCCGGGAACACCTTGGAGAGCTGGAGATACATACGGGCTCTTGGTGACAGGTCGTCAGGTCTGCCTGTGAACTGTGCAAGACGTGGATGCTTCTTGAACTTCTCAATGTATGGTCTTTCCCATTCCAGGATCTCCTGCCATGCACCCTCGTTCAGGAAGTTGTGCACGTCAACCATGCTCTCAACGGCGTCTTCAGGGATATCTTCCGCTTTGCCCTTACGGAGCATAGCGTTGAACATCTGCTGTGGCGAAGGGTACTCCCACACGCCTTCGTTCTCATCTTCTCCTCTTGGAATCGTGGAGAACGTTCTCTCCGTTGGCAGGTCCAGCTTCTGACCAGGCATCTTCCTGTCAGAGATCACGTGTGGCATGTTGTTCAGGGGGTTCAGCGTCTCACCGCCATCCTTCTTCATTGGACACACGGCAGGAAGCTCACTCTTAGCAACGTCCTTCTTCGGCTTAACAGGACACACTGCTGCTGCCGATGCCTTATGGTTAACGGGACATGTAGCCTTACCCATATTGGTTAGTCATTCTAAGGCCTCTTACACCATATTCATACGCAGAAACACGATAACTTACACTGTCGCTTGTGTTCTTTGGTGAATCGCCGGAGTCTGCCCAGAACCAGCCCATCGTTGTATGATTTTACCGGTCTCTTGGGCGAGTTTGTACTGTTGAACAGGAGGAAGAAGTGGAAAGAAAGAAAAAAGTTGCGAGCCCTGTGGGCTCTGGAAGCCCGGGCGGAGGAGGAAGTGCGTGCTGACTAAGCTCTTACGTAATGGGATGGGCTGCTTACGTAATTAAGTCCGAGGGCGTGTCGGTGATGGGCCGACAAGTCCGACAAGTCCGACATACGCAGCGCCGTTTCATTTAGGCCAAAAAATACAGAGGCTGAAGCCGTGTTTGGGCTCGGTTTCGCCTACTGATCACCGTGTGTTAAGGGCAAGAAGATGAATTAGTGAAGATATTAGACGAAAGGAAGGAGTAAGCGGTAATTGAGATGTTGTGTAAAACGTAGAAGACGAATGTTTGAACGGTGCATTGTGGAGTGGGTGCCATGCTTGAGGAAAGGGGTTCCACAGGCTGGATCAGCTCGACTTGGTCTTTACAATGGACTCTTCATCTTCAACGGAAACGGTGGTGACGTCCTGCTCCACGGTCGAAGGCTCTGGCTTGTCCAGAGCCGTGAATGGAGCTCCAGTAGCAAGGGAGTATATCTTGAGAACTGTGAGTCTAACGGCCAGCATGATGGCACTGGAGAGGAGACCACCAACTGGAGCAGCAACAAAGGCACCGAATGCCGACCAATCATCTCCGTAGATACCATACCAAATCAGAAGCAGTCTGCCTCCGTCTTGGGCGTTGCCGTAAAAGATACAGCCAAAGATGAAAACGGTGAGCAATCCACCTAAACCACCAGCTATGACTTCATACCCGGTGAGGAAGTATAGCTTATCCCAGAGCCCCAACATGATGATTGGGATCACGGCACTTGAGAGCAGATCGGCGATGAAGTAAATCTGGAGCACATCATCGGCAACTTTCACACCAACAACGATGACTGGGATGATGATGAGACACACGATGGCACGACACCACATGATATGGATCTTGTTTCTGAAGATATCGTTCGAGATCGTGGAACACATGGCAGACTGCAAAGAATCCAAAGTACACACAGAGATACAGATGACAAACACCAATGTGAAGCCAGAGACCCAGTTTGGAATCGTCTGCAAGATGAGGAACACAGAGGCAGACGACTCATAGTCACCAACTGGAACCAAACCTGCCCAGACAGCAATCAGACCGGCAACACCAACGATGGTGACGATACATGTCAAGATGAAAGCTGCGAGAGAGCATCCAATCCACAAGTCTTTATCAGTCTTCGCAGCAAAGGTACGCAACCAGAACCCAGCCATGAACATGTCGTTGGTGAAGATGGCAACCACAAGGATGTAGATCAATTGCCAGCCCAGTTTGGTCGACTTGAGCAGCCCAGACTCTGCGATTTGCGAAGTGTCAATGTGGACGTAGCTACCCACGGCACACGAAACGATGATGATGAAGAGGAACACTGCGCTGATTTGTAAAGTATCAGTGATGAAACTCACCTTGAACCCTCCAACTGCGGTGTAGATGGAAGTGACAACACATTGCACGATGATTGGAGGCAAAGCGTCCAAGCCTGTCAAGGTGTTGTACGCATACTGTAAGGATGCAACTTCACTAACCATGAAGAGGTAAAGAGTCAGAATCGTACAAGCTGAGAGGTACAACCCTGTGATTGTACCAAATCTCTGGAACACCCACTCTGTGAGCACGAAGCCATGTGGACACTTTCTACGGATGATTGGGCCAAAGAATGAGAACAGGAACATTGGCAGCCCACCAGCGAGGGCATACACTAGCAGGCCCTGTAGCCCGGCAATGTTGGCAACCTGGGGGTACGTGGACAAGATACCACAACCGACACCTGTCGACGATGTTAGTTTCAGCAGATAATGAGGTACAGGCTCCAGTGCTTCCACTTCTAGCTGGCTGGTGTGGTGCTGATGCTGCCTATGACGGTGTGGTATTATGTCCCACGCCTGCATCAACACCAACAGCAGCCTCAGTGAAGCGAAGCACCGCGAGCTTCTCTATGAATCCTCACGCAAGAATGGCCTTGGTCGAGTTCCAACGGTGTGATCTCAGTCCGCAAGGGACTCCCGTTCAAAGTGCTTGTTGCTGTGTCGATGTGTCGTAAGACAGCAACAGCATCAACAACCGTATACACACTCACTAGCAGAGGACAGTAGAGAAGAGAAGAAAAGCAGGAAAAGCCCTGTGACAGTTACTCACCAGAAGCGACGAAGTTGAACGCCAGAGGGATACCTCTAGACGTTCTGTTGGCAGACAAGAAGGTGTCCTTGTCTCTCACGTAGAAGGCCACCGCAAGGGCAGAGAAGAACAGAACACCGTAGGTGACGTATGCGATAGCGTTGGAAGCCTGTGATGATAGCATTAGTGCTGGATGCAGTGATACAGAGAGCGAATATCAACGGCTGGTGAGTCGGGATGAGATGAGATGAGATGAGATATTATTTGCCAAAATTTTTCTCACAGCATTATATATACTGGTGGACTTGACACCACTGAGAGGGCCATCAAGTGTTGTACAACAGCCTTGACTGTTTTTGCTTCACTCGCAGATCATGTACAGATTATGCTCTTAAGCTGGCTACGGCTCTTTAGTAAGGCAAATGGTATACACATACAGATCTTCCGGATTTTAGAGCTCGCGAGGCAGAGGAGCTGGCACTACTCTGGCCAATTGGCCTAGGATCACGGAGGTGGGCTCTCTGTCTCGTCGACAGCCTGTGTGGTGTGGTGTGGTGTGGATTGGCGAGGCATGTTGTGCTGGTGTGAAGGTGTGAAGGTGTGATGGTGTAGAGAGGAGTCGTAATCTACTACAGATATGTGCATACGATGCCCTGTCCACGGAGAAGTACACGGAGAAGTATACAGAGAAGTACATAGATAGCACAACGTGCTCTACAGAGAAGAGGTTCGTCAAAGATCGTGAACTAGATTAATCTATACAAGCTCTCCTTACAGACTTCAAAAAAAAGCAGCTTAAGCCTCAAGGGAGGTCAAGATGTCAGAGTCACCAGCGTCCAAAATGGCCAAAACACCAACTCTGAACAACTTACCACAGGCAGTACCCAACTCGTTGTTACCACCTTGGAAGTAGTGGACGGTGGTCTTGGACAACATAGCGTAGTACTCCAACTCAGACTTTCTGAGGACTGGAGTGTTGGAAGCAACAATCACCAACTTGGCCTTACCCTGTCTCATGGACTTGACCACGGACTTGTAACCAAGGGTGTACTTACCGGACTTGATAACAAGGGCAAGCTTTTGGTTGATGTTCTCTTGGGACTTTGGGGCCTACACTGTTGGTTAGTTACTTCTAGCTCTCTGCTTTATCGCCATGGGATACACAACGTCCAGGACAGCGAGCCATGCCACACACAGCTCCACCGCCTCCGCCGCTCCCACGCCTAAGATTCATATACTGACCATCTCTGTGTAGTAAAATAAGGTAGTTAGATTAGTGAAAACACTCCGGTCTAAGTTGTAGAGTCAGAAGGGCTCCAAAGCAGGTGAAGAGAAGAGTGAATCCGAGGTGAAAAGTTTTGAAGCACGGTGCGTATTGGTGGTGTACGGATGTGGCCGCTGGCGATTTTTCGCAGTCACAACGACGCACCGCGGAGCGAAAAAAAAAGCGGAGTCACATTGGTGTCCGGATGTTTCACAGGGCGCACGAGTGGGTTTTTTCACCAACGCAAACTACTTTTGGTGTTACACACTCTGGCACTCGGGTTGAGGAGAGGTTGTATAGAACACATCAAAAGGTTCGTGATGTTATTTGTTGGCGGTGGATAGTGTGAATGGAGCTGGTGGTGGAGATGTGTGGGCTGTGTGTGCTTGAATTGGCGGCGGCGACGAGCTGGAGAGAGGTGTAGTGACGACGGCCAGCGTGGGAAGAGAGAAAGAGAGCAACATGGGGGCTATGACGGTGAAGGAGGAGAATGTGCACACCGTTCTGGAGCTATGAGTATCTGATGTTATTGTTTAAGTCACGCCCATGACTCGCACAGCAGGATGGAGGACAAGAGGGAGGCGTTTATGCTGTAATGGTCGAACCAGTGAGAGGTGAAGGAACCAGGAGCAGAGAGAGAGCTCTGCCATGCTGAAGAAGAGAGCTCCACGTCACTACGCTAACCACACACTATACATCCGCATGTAGGCTTAACAGCGAGAGTACTAACACGTTTCATACAGTCACAATGAAGGTTGAAGTTGATTCTTTCTCTGGTTCCAAGATCTACCCAGGTAGAGGTACTTTGTTTGTCCGTGGTGACTCCAAGATCTTCAGATTCCAAAACTCCAAGTCTGCTTCTTTGTTCCACCAAAGAAAGAACCCAAGAAGAATCTCTTGGACCGTCTTGTACAGAAGACACCACAAGAAGGGTTTGACTGAGGAGGTTGCTAAGAAGAGAACCAGAAAGACCGTCAAGGCTCAAAGAGCCATTGTTGGTGCTTCCCTTGAGTTGATCAAGGAGAGACGTTCCCTCAAGCCAGAAGCCAGAAAGGCTCAAAGAGATGCTGCTGTCAAGGCCGACAAGGAAAAGAAGAAGGCTGACAAGGCTGCCAGAAAGGCTAAGTTGGCTGCTGCTGGTGGTGCTAAGGTCTCTAAGCAACAAGCTAAGGGTGCCTTCCAAAAGGTTCACGCTACCTCCCGTTAAGAATGTGTTGGTTCTTTAATTTGAAATGTACATTGTTTAACCACTGAAAGCATAAGATGTAGACGTTTGTATTATGATATCTAATGAAGGGCCTGAACGTATGGGAAGAAGAATAGAAGAGGTTTAAACGAATTGAGGAATGGCTCAAATCATTAAGAAACCAATTGCGAACATTGCAAAGAAGTAGGAGTTGATGTTGTTTGAACCTCCGTCATAGACTGTGACAGAGTAATCGTTGGAGGAATCAACCCTAGCTGTGGAAGTTGTTAATGCCTTTAATGACTCAGATAGATCATGAGCATCTGTGGTGAAGGTGGTTAAACTAGTTAAACTAGTTGTGGAAGCAAACAGTGTGTTCTCAGGTGTGATGCTCACAACAAGAATGGAGGTAGTTTCATTGCTTTCAGAATTGGCATCAGAATGAATGACAGTAGAAACACTCGTAGTTAATAAGGTGGCGTTGGCATAGATGTTGGTTGACTCTGAAACAGACTGTGTAAGTGAACCAATCTCATGACTGGTAGTGCTAGTAACGGTACGTATAACACTAGTAGCTGATGATCTGATAATATTCAAAGTATCTGTTGTGACCGGAGCATTCAAGCTAGAGGTTGGATACTCGTCCACAAGTGTCACCATCGTTGAGGTTGAGACATTATTCCATGTCGTAGTGATTGTGACAGTAGATTCAGCTGGAGGTTCAACAGGAGGTTCAACAGAAGGTTCAACAGTAGATTCAACAGTAGATTCAACAGTAGATTCAACTGGAGGTTCAACAGTAGATTCAACTGGAGGTTCAACAGTAGATTCAACAGGGCCAGTTCCAACAACATTGACAGAGCTGTCGACCACAGCAGCTGTGGTTGTGAATACTGTGACGTGGTCATCTTCAGTTATCATTGAAGTGCCTTGGATCACAGAGGATATACTTGAGTCTATACCATCCGAATATTCAGTAGAACTCACACCGGAACTTCTAGTAATAGGGAAGTAGGTACCATGAGATGAAACCATCGTATTCTCAGAGGAAGAGAGAGTAACAGTACCAGATGTAGAATTCATAAAAGGAGGAATTGTTCCAACTGTGATGTCATAAGTCAATGAAGGATAATTGTAATCAGCTTTCGAATACGATGTCGACAAATACGTTGAAGATAGAGAAGCATCAGAAAGCGAATACACTTCAGCAGATGAAGTAACTTTAGGCAACGTTGTCGCACCAGAAAGCGATCCCAGCACAGACAATGAAGAGGTAGGACGATTAGGCCCATATGCTGTGTTTGTAGAACACGACAAACATGTTGATGAAGATCTAGAAATAGTACTCCATGTACCTGGCGCAGCAAGAGTTGAAGTTCCAGAAGCGCCAGAAGTAGAAAAGACAGACTTTAGAGCACCATTGTCAGTGGTGGTACCGAGCCCATCAACAGTTATATGAACTGAAGTTGAAGTCGACGGAATGTCGCTCTCGTTCGATATCGAACTGTTATAACCTGAACCAAGTGGTAAGGTAGTGGTTGTAGTCGTAATAACAAGCCTAGAAGTACTTGATGACACTGAATTCATTGTAGACACAGCTGATATGGCCTTTCCAGGGGTATATGTTGTGGTGTAGATGGTAGCACTTGAAGGAAGCCCATTTTCTGTGAAATTGGAGGCAATACCAGAGGTAGATGGTAAGTGTAAGCCTGATGAAGAGGATACCGTCCGAATGTCGTAACTGAGAGCAGATGTCTCAGACACTGCTGTATTAATGTCAGCAGACTGGGTCCTTGGTAGAGTTGAAGGTAAACCAGTAGTTGAAAGAGAAGTCCGGCCAACATGGTCCTCTGTACAAGAGGAGTGACAAACAGTTGGTATTTCTGAATTTATAGTAACGTTGGCAAGAGGGACCGATCCCACACTTGACACAAGTATAGAAGATGATCTCTGGGTACCCACAGTTGAACATGTGCTTGCGATATTCAAGAAAGACGAAGTTTCTTCAGTCATCACTGACTCTGAAGAGCTCGAACCTAAGGACGTTATGTGTAGAGAGTTGGTCCTTGAAGAGTTCATGAGACTCAGAGAACATGAGACACATATGGACGATTCATTTGATTCCATGATCGCTGTCGTATGATTCTCAGATTGAATACGAGATAGTGGTATGGAGAGAGTAACGGTGGTGCCCACTGCAGCATAAGTTGTGATGTCTGACAAAGATACTGATTGTTGCAATACTGTACTGGAAGGAATGTGAATGTTGGTATTCCACAGTGTCGTGCCAGTCTCATTACCAGAACTATATGTTGACGAAGAAGCTGCAGTGTATGAGACATTATGAGTTTCAGAATTGGCCAAGGAAGTAGAGGATATCAATGCCCATACCGGACTAGAAGAGTTCGACACTGTGATTGAAGAATAAGAGACAGTAATAGCATGGTGTGGAGTAGTAGATGAAGAAATTGAAGACGACAACAGAACATTGGAAGTATTGTACACCGCAGACGAACTATTCACAGAAACCGTCTCAATTATAGATTCAGATTCTGGAAAGTGTGACGAAACAGCAGAGTATCCAGCCATTGATGTTGAAGATACGAGATCATAGGGATAATCGGATGCGTCAGTGGTCTGTGAGTTAACAATATCATCTTTAGAATTAGATATCTGCACAGAAGAAGTTGCCACTTCAGTTACCTCAGCATGGTATGAAGACTTCAACAAGGACATACTTGATACTGGTGATACAGAAGAGGAACCCAATGACCCGTAATTTGTCGATTGAGAGATCAAACTGATCATGGAATCTGATATTTTAATCAACGTGGTGGTATTGTCACTGGTATTTGGAGTTGATGAATAGAAAAGTGACGACACAATTGGAGTAGAAAAGTTATTCATTTCATAGCTGAACGTGAGGACACTTCTGCTAATAGAATCAGAGGACTCCTGAAGACTGTAGCTGGTTGGAGACATAGACGTAATAGATGAAAGAAGAGAAGAAGTAGGTAAACTGGATTCACTGGAGCAAGACAGACAGATCGATGAGACGAAACTTGCAGTGATCGATGATGTTAAGTTCGATAGTTCATGACCAGCTGTGTGATTCAAATAAGTAGATACTGGGATGCCAGAAGTGATAATAGTAGTACCTACAGCAGCAACTGTGGTAGTGAAGGATTGATCGATCGATGATAACAAGGTGTCAGTGCTCCATGTTGAAGTCGTGGAATAATGATTCTTAGTGCATGACAAACAAGTAGACGATGATCTGTCAACAGCCAAAGAATTCAAAGAAGATGCAGAGTGGTAA